AATGGATGTGGACCTTTACAATAATAACAAATCTTGAACGACGTTTCTTGAGACATCTCTGGTTGCTTGAAGGTTTTATGTACTAGCACGTTTGGTCACATATCTTTCTGCCATTTTCGTTTTGACAATGTTTCCTGAGTGACTTAGTTTGGGGTCTGAAATATCCCCCCCAAAAAACTGGATGAGATAAAATTCTGACTTGTTTTTCCAAAAAATCCACAAGGTCAGAAAACATGACTCTGTTTCCTTGTCGCTCTTGTATGTCACAAACTGTAGTGCGCCATCTTTCTCTTAAATATGGCCACTTCATGATAATCTTTCTGAGGTTTGCTGAAATATTCATTTCTTCCATGTATTCATTGTCTTCCATAGTGTTACTACATCCTCTCAGAAATAGAGCAAATTCTTGCATTCCTTGAGCATCCTCAGCTTTCAGTGCTGGCCAGGCAAACATTTTGTGTATATAGGCTGCAGCTACTTTATGCTCATCCCCAAAATGTTCTTTCAGCAGCTCCTTTGCCTTTTTATATCCTTGCTGAGGTGTCATGTGCAGACAGCTTCTTACTAATGCTCTTGGCTTCCCCCTGGTATATTGCTCCAAAAAATACAAGCAATCTTGGGAATTATTTGTTCTGTGTTCCACACAATGTTCAAATGTCCTAATGAATGAAATGTACTGCAATGGGTCTCCATCAAACGGCATTATTTCTCTTTGTGGCAAAGTGGTGGTCTTCTGTTGTTGCATCAGCGTAGCAGTAATTTCATTCTGTTTTTTCATGATTTCACAGACTGAATCCTGAAGAACTGTATTTTGAGTAGGTAAAATATAGTGTTGTTGCTCCTCTCTTTCTGTAACGGATGGTGTCACTGTAGAAACATTTATCAGAGTCTTTCTTGGGTTTAGAGCTTTAAATATCTCCTTTTCGATTCTCACCTTTGGTCTCACATCTTGAGCAAACCCCTTTTGTGTTTCTTGCTCTCTTAACTGACCATCCTTTTTTGGAATAAACTCCTTTGCGTTGGGGTTACATTCATTCTTTTTGTCCTTTATATCTCTGCTCACATATGAGTTCATGCCATCAGAGTAGGCCTTTCCACTAACATCACTGCCTTCCAACACAGACAGTCTTGCAACAGCAGCAGCAATTTGTGTATCAATTTCCATTTGTTCTTTAAGTTTTCTCAATTTCTCTCTTTCCAATCTGAGGTTTTCTTCTTGAGCCTCCAGCTCATGTTTCGCCTTTAGAGCTGCAGCTTTCTGCAATAAAGCTGCTTTCTCTGCCTTTGCTTTTAAACATGCAGAAGAAATACTGGAGGCAAATGTACCAGAATGGCTTCTCCTTGACCTTTTCCTTGATATGTTCGACACACTGTCTTCGGGGTTGATATCATCATGACACTGAACCGTTTCACTTTTATCTGCAGCGTCAACATCATAATTCATATTAGTTTTATCACCTTCCAATGAAGTACAGGATTCCTTTAACCATACAGCAATTTTATCAATAAAAGCATCACTGGCATCTTTCTTCAAATCAAACCATTGCTGTTGCTTTTCCTGTTCTTCCGCAGAGAGAGAGAGAGCATTTTTTAAACTTCTCCAGATTTTGTTCAACAGCACATACATTTCCTCTTGAGACCAACAGTTCACCAATTTTAGACTTTATTTTACTTGCTTGTTTGAAACAATAATCTCGTTCCTTCTGAAATCTTTCAATCATCATTAACATCTCTTTTGGAGTTGGTTTGATTTTTCTTTTTTCTCTTTAATATTTCCTTGTTCAACTTCAGCCGTGAGGCGCTGAGCACTTTCAACTTCAGCTTCAACATTACGCACGTCACTCATTTTCAAACATGTGTGCCGCGAACATCAGCGTTAATAAGGGAAGCTGAGTCACAGCATGACCACTCCAGCTTTATCTGCACAGCTCAAACAACTGGTGATCTTGTCATCCTTTCTGGATTCAAAACAACCACAATCGCCGCACCTTCAAGGCGACACCACACCCACTGTCGCAATGAACAGCTTCGTAGCATCAAACTTTGCAATCTGTTCCAGATCCACGTGAAGACATATAGGCTGCGGTATTGTTTCCATCTGTACCTCTTTGATGTCTTCGTTACCGTGCCTTCTCATCGGGATGCTCATGGAGTACAGCAGCGTCCTCGAATAATACATCTGCGCGGTGCCAGAATGCGCTCCACGCTTTCCAAAGGATCTGCGTCAGGGGCCGTGGATCTTTTATCTTATTTTCTCCAAGTGAGAATGGTTTTTACTTGTGTGCTGACACTTCCTGTTGTCAGCCAGCTGGGTGAGGGCGGAGGCGGCTTCTGACGTGCTTCTATTCATAAATCAAACCTCTTTTTGTCTGTGCGTTAGTCTTGTTTATTTTCTTTTACAAGCATTAGCTGGCGTTTTACATGATGCGGTTCCAAGGATAGTAGTGCTCCCAGTTGATTGTCACAAAAAAGAAATATATCGTGCCATGGTGTCGTGAGCGGTAAAAACCGTATGCTCATCCCGCCACCCATGCGTAATCGGCTCCCCCGAAACACCTGAGGACCCACTTAAATCACATGTGACGCACCCGACACCACCACCACCACAGATGAAAGAAAGCCCAACCCACAAAATAAATGGCTCCTACAGGCGTCTCAAAGTCCGTAACTCTGAAGGAGTTTTTCGTCTTAACTTGACTCAGAAATCAATGACTCTGGGTAGAGTCTTTGTTAGCTGGTTACAGTTGCGTTTATTCTTAGCTATTCTGGTCGGCGCGACTGGAACAGCAGGTGGAGGTTTAGGGACGGCCGTTCCCTTCCTCCGTGGTGTTGGTTCCAGAACTGACTGAAGCTAGTGATGGTTACAGTTTTACCAAGCTCTCAGGACACTCCCACTCTCTCCGGAAGAAAGCTTTGATCATGCGTCAAAAACATGTGTTGCAGTTATCGTTTATCTGGACTCTGTGTTAGCTGAATAAGGTGAACTGACCTTCTTTGCTGAACACATCTTTTACTGTCATCAACAAAAATCATAATTAATCATTATTATCCCAAAGCATAATAATTCATTTCATGTAATTAAAAACCATTATACTGAACCAAGTGATGATTTATGATGATTATATTAAACAGTAATAAAATCTATGAGTTTTATTAATTATTATCTAATTACTATCATTGTGACTTGAAGTGTCCTCCTCCTGGGATGGAACAGCAGCAGATATGGATATGATCTTGAGCAGACATCGTGGCTCCTTGTTTAATCTGTGGATTTAAAGTACTGTTTGACGCGTCTTAACCCAGCTGGGTAGATGTGCCCTTTGCCACAAATTAGAGGACCTTCGGTGACGCTACAAAGTGTTGTTTGTGTGCGCCTCCCAAAATGAACGCAACACACTCGCAAGCTGCAATATATGAGTAACCAGTAGGTGGAATTGATGAAACGAGTGAGACACTCGCCATGGTCACTCCGTCTCTGGTTTAGAACTCTACAATACCGCTGCTGCTGTCTTTTTTCTGCTGTGATCTAAAAATTAACCACTTACTGATCTCTTCTATTGATGCCATGTTTGTTTTGGTTGTACCCCACAAACTGGGCTCTTTATCTGGACTGAGTACTCTATTGTGCCCCCTAGTGGAATCCTCCAGTACTGCATGCACTGCAGCAGTGTTTTACTCAGCCTGCTGCCTGCGCCAACATGAGGTTGAAAAGCAAGTATATTACAGCCCTAACATTTTAGGTTAAACAAACAAAATGTTGAATTGATTTCTGCGTAATTCTAAATGCCTTAGTACACAGGTACACATGTCATTTTGCGTCTGACCCAAAATATTAACTCCAGTTGAGAATCCTCACAACTTTTATTGTTAATTCCTTCTTAATAAAAGCAGCTTTTGGGGGGTCACACCTGCTGGACCAACAATTTAACGTCTACAGTGTCTGATTAATCATTTTAAATTGTTATGTCACATCAGACGTTTGGGGTTTTTGTTCTTGTTTTTGCCCGTTTTGCATCAAATGCTATTTAGATTTCTTTGTGTTGGACAGAAATGACAGGATGGATTTTAGCTCAATACTTTGTCCTTCCCATAACAGCTCTGCGTGAAGACATTAATCTTATTCAGTCAGGCTTCTCAGGCTGACATTACGCTCAGAACCAACCTCAGTGATTTCTGAGCCTCCTGCACGAGCTCAGGCAGGAAGAGCTCTGATTTACCCAAACAGATCAGCACATTTTTGTCATTATTGAGAATTGTTTTGAGTGGCCATTCAGATTTAAGAATCACTAATCAACAACATTGTGCTGCTCAATCTATTGGCCAATTCATTCCCTTCCTAGCTTTATTTCTTGTTTTATGACAAAATTGATTCAAAATGAATACATTTATTCAGATCTTGTGTAATAAATCTCAATCAAACTGTTTGATTGGGTTGTCAATAATTCTGTAAAATAATAAAACATCTGGGTTTACTTTTACAACTACAATGAGAAGTTTTTAAATTGCAGACAAGTTTTACAAGCTCATCACAATTTAACAATGTTCAAGAAGACAGTCTCATTGTTTTAGTGAAAATATGACTTTTTAATGTTGGATAACTGAATCACAGGTGCAGCACTGCACCATTCCTCAGTCTTCCGGAGGTTTCTGTCAGGTGAGGAGTTGGTGCTATTGGCTTTTAGACTGACTTTTCCCCTTCTTCTTTGGGGCTATTGACATTCTCCAGCGCTGTCTCCTGTTTCACAGTCAGGGACACACTTGGTGGCAGAGGTGATATGGGGCAGCTGCTTGTCAGCCTGTATGTGCTTTAAGTATTCGTGACCTGCAACACTTAAGGGATCCTAAAACTGTTTTACAATAAAGTAGCTGTCAGTTGTCACTATTTAATTGAAAATTTGACTAAAATACGGCAAAAGGTTCAATTATTGCGCAATTTTTTTCATTCCTTGAGGTTTTGTAACAGTTGTTTCTTTTCTATGTTGATTTTTTTTGTAACTCAGGTGTGGCAGTGTGGAGGCAGCGTTGAGGTCCTTCCTTGCGCTCGAATCGCCCACATTGAGCGCGCTCATAAGCCCTACACTGAGGATCTGACGTCTCACGTGCGGCGAAACGCCCTCAGAGTGGCAGAAGTTTGGATGGATGAGTTCAAAAGCCACGTCTACATGGCTTGGAATATTCCCATGGAGGTGCGTGATGGTTGTTATCAAAATAATAAAACAATTCATTAAATTATTTTTGTAATGCTAAGTTTTCACACTCCACAATTTTTTCATTTAAGATCAGAGGATTTGGATCCTGTTGAAATGTCTAATTTTAGATCAACATTTGAACAGATGTTCTTATATCAAAATCCTCGGTGTAGCGTACCAATTTTTCTGTTTAAAGCATGGCTAACTATAACATTTATCCTAAAATGTGTGTTTAGTTTTCTCAGACCACATCCTGTTTTACTGCTACAGCGTGTTTCATTCACATATTTTATTCACCGGTCCTGAGCATAGTATTCCTTAAAAAGCTAAAATGTGTTTGAATTTGGCAGCAAAATGACCTTTCCTGGAATCTTTCTCATTCAGGTCACAATTCAGAGATCACTTCTTGATTTTAGATAAATCATCATTAATGCACTGCTTTATTCACTCCTTAATAAACCAAGAATATCTGATTGAGATCAAATATTTTAAACAAATTAAATCATTTTAAGGAGTCCTCAACGTTGAGGTTCAATATAGCAGCTCCTTGTAATAGAAATAGTAGCTGTGGTGGAAACGTGTTTATTTTGCAAGATAAACTTTGGGTGCCTCTTAAATCGATGTTATGTATAGTTGTATGTTGTCTGAGTAAAAGGAACACACCACGACGTCCGTCCTCCACACAGCATAGTGACCACTACTGCCTATGGTGGCCGCATTTGCAGGTTCTACTTTTAAACTCTACATTTAACAGGATGTTTTAGCTAGGCTTTAGCTTCGTAGAGTAAAGGAAGTCGAATGGCAAAATAATGCGTTCATTAACCCGTTCATGCACACCAGAACGAACACACTCACTTTAACATTCGTCAGGCAAAATACGAAAGATTTCAGTACACTAAAAATAAATAAATTAGTTCAGGATGGCTTACAGCAATGTTTTGTCACAAGGTAGTCCCAAGGCTAAATGGGCTCCTGTGGTTCCTTCATTTACAGTCATGTAAGATAATTGAGGTCAACTTGAAAAAATTATTAATTTTCAAGACTTTTTAAATCAAAATGCTAGCTGTTAGCATTTACTTACCTTGTTTGTGCTAAGCTAAAGCTAACAGAATACTGAGAGATTAGGAGAATAACTGGACTGTTTACGAAATGCTTTTTCCCACTTAGCTCAGTGTGGGGAAGATGGCACCCGACTAAGTTTCACAGTGGATTATCTCTTTAAAGAATATATATAAAATCATGTCCTTCAGATGAAAATGTCTTGGACATAAATAATCTCATCATCAAAGCACATTTGTGTATGAAATGTGCAATATAAATAAAGCTGCCTTGCCATAAATGATCTGCTAATCTCAGCTTGACCAGAAAAGGTGAAAATGAAAGCAGCTTTTTATTTAGCCAAAGACTCATTATTGTGTTTTTTAAAGAGCAAGTCACCCCCTACTAGAGTATTACTCCACTCCCACTTCCTGTTTGAAAAATGCAACAAATGCTGTTGCCTAGCAGACCGAGAGGGCGGAGCCGCTAACAAATACACACACACAAACACACACACACAGACTCACAACGACATTGTGAAATCATATCGTGCCAGCTAACATTCTAGGGTACCTCTTAGCCAATCGCAATGGCAGCTTTAAATTCAAATGCAGTGCAGAGTTTTTACCTGACAACGGCACAACACTGACAGTTTTAGGCAGAAAATTAAAATTTTTACTAAAATCCACTAAAGTGCAAAACTATTCACTACACGTGTCTGCAGCACAGTTAGACACACATTTATACAGTTTATCAGAAAAAAAGTTGATTTGGGGGTGACTTGCTCTTTAAGGAAAATCCAATTTTGTTTGTTGTCGAGAACCAAATCTATAAATGCACAACCAAAAATCTTAAAACTCCATAAACTTGCAGCGGCAACATGCCCGCTCCCTTCTGCAGCCTCCTAATTTATGTGTCACAGGGTTAAGTGTCGTCTTTGTTTCAACAAGGCTCCCGACACCTCTCGAAGACCCAAATGAAATGATTATTCTGTCACTCACAGATTGGCCTTGAATTAGAATCGTGCTTGTGAATAAATAAATTCCTAATATAGTTCGATAGACTGGTCTAAATGGAAACATTATTTGTTTTAAAAATCATGCTGGAGGCTGATAAGAACATTTGGAGGGATGAACTGCAGAAGGAAATTGGATTACAGCTGTGACTTGGCTGCAAAATAAATAATAATGCAGCAAAAAGAAAAGTCGATACAAAGATCTAAGATGCACGTAGTTAATTTTATTTAGTCACGCGTTATTTCAGAATAATCTCTGTTGATCTCTCTGTTTGAGAAATGCACTACATCTGCTGTCTCAACAGCCCATTTAGTAGAAAAAGCCTCACAAGTTGTAAAATAGCTGTTTTTCTGTTTTAAAGGTACAGATTTCTTATTTGCGCTTGATCTGGTTTTAATCAGGTTAAAAATGATCCTATACTCTGTCTTTATAAATTTAGCATCCCTCGAAGGCTAAAATAAATGTTTGCTTATTGCGTCAAATTTTTTTCTTGTCCTGCATAATTTGTTTGAATATGTAAATCCATATTATAAATAGATGAAATGAACATCTGCAGGCGATTCATTCAGTCAATAATGAGCCATTTAACAGAGGCTATACTCAACAAGCATGAAACGTAGCCTCAGAATCAGCCCTGAGATTTAACTGCATGGCAAAAATCAGCCGGGTTAAGTGTGAACGTGAAAATCTGCAGTGTTTATCTGAAGTTTGCACCCATCTTAGTTTGTGATGGTTTTAAGCAGCAGAGAGCCTCATCAGCAGCACTTTAACTTCTTACGTTAAATAGCAACGTGCAAAAGATGGTAACAAGTAGTGACACAAGCCAAAAACAATCCTTTAATTATAGAAAAAAGTTACATTTTGAGTAATAACTCACTAAAATGCTTAATTTGTCATACATTATTTGTATAGAAAAATTAGCCACTAGCTCTCATCTTTATTTATTGAGCGCTCCAAAATGACCAAGGGTCAACTAGCTTAACACCAGTGATGTCAGTAATGTGTTACTTAGTAGTGCATTACTCTAAAATGACCACGTTTCCCAGTAATGACTAATCTAACGTGTTGCTGTTTTCATATCAGTAATCAAATTAAAGTTACTTGCCCAAGACACCGTCTGTGACTAGTTACGATTTTTGTGATTTGCAAACGATATCGCAGCAGCTGACTAGCCTGAAACGGCGACAGGAATAGCAATACGTGTAACCAACAACAGCAGGTATACTACAATCAGAACATGCAAAGCTACTAATCGACCGAATGGCATTCTGAATGGAATGGAACCCTCGCTCCACAAACATAGCTCATTCTGAACACTGAACAAAAGACTAACAACAAAATCCCAACAAAACAAACACAACAAACAACTGGTAACCTGGCTACCCACAATGCATCCCGCCCGCTGCTTCTTCCGCAGTCACTAGTGTCACTAGTGACCCCGCCCACTGTAAAACAGACAATGGGAGAAGTGCATTGTGGGCATGGACGTAATTTTTTTTGGGGGGGGGACAAGGGGGACATGTCCCCCCACTTTTTCTACAGTCAAGTTTTGACCCCTGCACTTTTTACCATCCAAAAACAATATTACGCAATATTAAATTGACACTGGTCGAGCTCTAGGACCAAGATACCCCACCCCCCCCCACCCCACCCCCACCCCTTCCCCACTTCTTAAGTGAAAATTACGTCCATGATTGTGGGTAGCTGGTTTTCAGTAATTTTTTTCCTATTTTGGTGTGTTTTGGGATGTTTTGTTGGGGTTTTATTGCTAGGGTTGTCTTGGCTGTTGTCTGTTGTTCTGTGTTCTGGGGCTAGGGTTAGAATTAGGTTCTGATGGTGCTTTTTTTGGTTGGTGTTAATTTTGCATCATGAGTAGCGGTGCCGTTCGGCAATTCTACAATGTGGCTCACAGCAATCTCGGGTGTCAGTGGTATTGCTCATGCTGGATGTTAGCTTTTAGCTGCCTCACCCGTTGCATTGGCATAGCCAAACTGATCGTTGTTTCTTATGTTGAGGCGATGGGTAGAGTTAATAGCAGCTGCTGAAAATAGGTAACGAAGAAACTTCTGACTTAGTTACTTTTAACATAGAGTAATCAGTAAAGTAACTAAGTTAATCTTGGATTGAGTAATCAGTAGTCAGTAATCAAATTACTATTTTAAGGTAACTGGTAAATACATGAATCATTAAAAGCCAGGCTAAAACCAGTATCAGAATAAAAAGCAGTAAAAAACAGATTAGTAGCAGTTTAATATCATACTAATTGATAAAGTCCAAATACAGCATAAAAATAATTCTACCAACAGTATGTAAATAAGGTAGTAATAATGTTTCTTTAGGTAAGACTAGGGGTCAGTACCGACCCACTCGCCAAACCACCAGCAGGTCCCGCTCTAAAAGTCACTAAATGACATCATTACATAATCCATTTTACTAATCATGTGTTTCTAATTATAATGGATGCTGTGAGAGAGAGGCAAGAAAAAGCTGCTTGAAAAGGTTTTATCTATAAATAAAGTTTCTTCAGATATTTTTATTTAATGTCACAGTTCAGATTCTCCTCCTTTATCTAGACTTTGGTACCCAGGAGAGACGCTTTAGAAGTGTTAATTAGGCTTTTTACAATATTTTTAGAAATTAACATGATTATTATTACTAATTTTAGTGGTGTGTAAAGTCTAATCCAGGACTGAGTCTTGACACAGAGGAGTTAAAGTCTCCTGCTTTGAATGTCGGCAAAGGACTGAGTTGAGGGTGCTTTTTTTGGGGGGGGGGTAGTAATGTCTGTTACTTACGAAAACTATGCAAGTCAGAGTCTCCAGAAGTTTTCAGTAACTCCAGGAAAATGTCATAAATTTTTTCTGAAAACCAGTCTGAAAAAGAGTCTAAATTACTTACTAACCACAGCGAAAAGGTTGCTAAATATACAACTCGACCGACCACCTGCTCCTGTCTGCTCCCAAAGAGCTTTATAAATCCTGCGGGGAGCGAACTTTTTCTTTTGCCGCCCCGAAACTCAGGAACGAGCTTCCTCTGCACACGAGGCAGGCCCCATCGCTTAGCTCTTTTTAAATAGCCCATTATTATGCTTTTGAAATCTGATTTCATCTCACGGTCTGACCTTTTTATGCCATTTTTATCATTGTTGTTTTTTGTATCTTTATTCAGCACTTTGGTCAGCTGTCATGCTACTTTAAAACGTGCTGTCGAAATAAACTTAGCGTGGTATGGTAACTCTGCATAGATATTTATGACATGCTAACAATAATGATGTTGCAAAAACAGTTAACTTTGGATGATAAATATGTTTGACAAATCTATCCAGTCATTCTAGTATACTTAATGTCAGAGCCTTCACGGTAACACTGTGTGTGTGTGTGTGTGTGTGTGCGTGCGTGCGTGCGTGCGTGCGTGCGTGCATGCGTGTCTGAATATTGCACATCCCAGGACTCGGGGATCGATATCGGTGACATCTCTGAGAGGAAGGCTCTGAGGAAAAGGCTGCAGTGCAAAACTTTCCGTTGGTACCTGGTGAACATCTACTCTGAGATGAGGATGTACAGCGACACCATCGCATACGGAGTGGTAAGCCACCGCCATCCTCTTCCTCACGATTTCAGTTCAAATCTGAAAAAAGAAAAAATCTGACTAAAGGAAATTGTTTGTATTGAGATGTGGACGGGTGCCGTCCAAAGCACACTTTGTCTATTTCCGTTACTTAAAGAGAAGTTACTGAAAGACTTTGTTTTCCCTGTTTTCATTAATGTTTTGTTCTTGGCCTAGATACAAAGATGAATTAGCTGAAGCTTACATAATGATATGTATATTAAAATCCCCTGGAGAGCTTTGCAGGAAGATCTGCAAGAAAAACTGACAGCCAACAGGGTCTGCTGGCAGCACTTCTATTTTCCCATCTCTAGTTGTTCTCAAACAGCTTTATTTTCACAGTCCTCCCACCTTGCATCACCATGATGAGCCTTAATACAGAGTGGCACGCAGGCTGCTCTGTCACAGCACTGCTCTCTATGTTTATGGATTATTATTTTTCTTTTACAAAAGGGAACTCGCACAGAAAACACATCGATGGACATCGTTACATTCATTTTTCTGAGAAAGCCGACCTCATTATTCTGTATTTGTCACATGCATTTCATGGTCTAGTCAGTGGAGGTGGCTCAGAGATTCATTATACAGCTGAGTGTCAGCCTTGTTTAATGCAAAAAAAAAAAGAAGCAACTTTTAAATAAATTATAATTCATGATGACCGGAAAATATATAGCGTGAGGATGGAGGCATAAATGGATCAAATATGTTTATTTTTGCTAATCTTGCATGAAGGTTCATTTGGATCTGACTTAATTTGTTTTAAAAACATTTCAAATTGTGTTTTCTTATAGTGTAATGAAAATTAAACTTAAAAATATAGCAGGATTGATAAATATGGACTTTATCCACAAGGGGTTTTCAAAGATCCATTCTCAAAAATGTATCTAGACTTAAATGAATTCAAATGTCATTAAAAGCACAAGAAACTGAGAAAATATCATTAAAATGCTAAAAACCAGGAAATTATACAATCAGATGAAACATAACCCACTTCAGTGATCTGTGGGTTGTAGCATTGTAAATCATTTCTTTAGATGAATTATGCCTCATTGTTTAATCAAAGTGGTTTTTTGAGTCTGTAATTTGGTACGGGCGATCTTTATTCATTTTTTTCCAGTGTGAACTGCAGCCTTAGTTTCCTGTTTTTTAGCTAACAGGAAATAACCTCTACTGTGGTCCATCTGTGACATGTGAGTAACTGTCTGAGCTACTGTTGGTACAGTATTACATCATCTCCAACAAGATTTTCCATTATCATTTAACCTTTGGCATCAGCTAGGTATTTTTGTCCACACAGCTGCTGCTTAGGGGTAACAGTAGCTCAGGAAGTATAGCAGTTTTCATTTGGTTTTTTTTTTTCTTCCATTTCGTGGAGAGAGTAGTCGCGTCCCTTATCTCTTCAATTATCTCCCCAAGGCTCTTTGTCCTGTCTGTCTGTCTACTACAGACAGACAGGACAAAGAGTTCCTGAAAACTCAAAGTTATCGAATCATGGATCTGGTAAGCTGGTTGTTCAGGAGGAGTAGTGGCGGTTTTACCATTAGGCATAGGTCGGCGGCCGCCTGGGGCCCCCTTGTGTTGGGGGGCCCCCTAGCCCTGACTGCCGGCACCCCTCTGTTAATGCCACAATATTCTTATTACCAACCTGTCGCCACCAATGGGATTGGACATGCACACTTCTCATTACCATAATTCCTGAACTGTTCAAGATATCTGTAAAATTCCAAAAGTGCTGAAAAGATTAAAAATGGGGCTTTTTGTGCTTATACAATACATTACGGTAGCCACCGGGATTCCCTGTCTTGAGCGCAACGAATCAACACAGATTCAGAGACGTGCTGAGTTTGTCATCCAAAATGCTCCGTTTTGTATCTTTTGAATGGCTGATCAGATTCAAAAAATTCCAACGGTTCCTAAAACTGCATAAAAGCAGCTTTCCAACGATCTATAGCATGAAGCAATCAGGGTTATGGAAAATATTGCTACGAGGGAAAATCCTGCTGTACAGCCTGATTGAAACGGAGTACAGCGGAGCGCAGCGCCGCGGTGAAAGCGGATAACGGAATGGGGAAGCTAATTAGTATATAAAGCCGGCATGAAATTATGGAAATGCCTCAAAGAAAATCAACATGATCTATTAGGTGTCCCAGAAGGCGTATATCTGAAGACAGTGACCACGAAGAAGGACAGATCTCCGGTGAACCAGAGTATGAATGTTTGTTCTGTCACGCTGAAGAGATGGTTAGGACCCAAAATGCAGATCACCCAGATGACAAGAGGCAGGAGTTGGTATAAAGCAAAATTCCTTTTATTTTGAAGGAGGAACAAAAATAAATCCAAAAGGGCAGCGAGCCAGAAGTCCAAAAATCCAAAAAAAAACTGGTGACTGGAACCAAAGCTCACCTAGAGCACAAGAACTGGAGAACGAGATGCCAAAGCTCACACAGAGCAACAAAACAACGCTGACAAACAACAACAATGAACCGACACCAGACACAGACAAGACAGAGCTTATATACACAGGGAGAAGTGATTAGGGAAAATGGCGGCAGGTGTGTGAAGTGAGAGCTGGAGGGAAGACAGGTGAACCTAATAATCAAAATGGGCAAACAGAAACAGAGGAGGGCCAAATAAACCTAAAAAAACTCTAAAACACAAAACTAAACCTAAAGGCTGCGGGAAGGACTAACACACACACCATCACACAACCAAATGCACTAATATAAACAGGAATGGGGAATGGACAAGCACACACACACACACACACACACACACACACACACACACACACACACACACACACACACACACACACACACACAACTACACACACACACCCACACACAAACACTGAGCAGGGGATTGACACGCACACACACACACACACACACACACACACACACACACACACACACACACACACACACACACACGTCGAGCTGGGGACAAAGAAGCTGGGGACTACAAGGGCACAGAATGTAAATGAGACCTGGAGGGCCTGGGGATGAATGAGATGACACGACCTGGGAGGAATCGACTTAAAGGACTACCAACATAGGATACATAATGGACGCAGACAAAGGACACATGAGGGCGCTATGAGACACAAAAGGGGAATCTAAAGAGGGATGGAGGACATAAGGAGACACATGGGGAAGACACAGACGCAGACCATGACATGTTCAGTCTTTATTTTTTATTTTTTTATTTTAACAACCCACAACTATTTGCTAATTGTAAGATTCAGCTTCATTCCAGCATTATTTATCTATTTACAATAAATCATTATTTTTGCTAAAACAAAAGTTTTTGGTATAGCAGTGCACGGTGTGCCAGAGAAGCACCCCATGGCAGTGTGAGGTGTGCAGAGTGGGACTCTGGAGGCTGGAAGCTGGAGAGAAACTGCTTCAAGGCCTACCCCATCAAATAAAATGTCTGAAAGTTTACAACAATAAATGGTCTTAAAAACTGCTAAAAAGATACCAAGGTTCACACTTTTTAGGAATAGATGCATTACAGTTCAAAGTTTAAAATGTTTATTCCAAATTGTTCGCCCAGTCATTTTGAAGTTCCTGTTCATTAATAAATGTCAAAAAAAAAATTCAAATCCATTTTTTGCTTTTTTCACTTTTAAGCTGATTTTTTAAAGGCTTCAATAGAAATAAATTCTAAATACAAACCATACACTGAAAGCTGAGGTTGTTCTGAAAAAAGGAGAAGAGTTACACACACTTTGCACTTTTTATTACAATTTTACAGCCATAAGATTAAAAAATACCAGGCGGCCCTGTTATAATTATGGTCATGAGAGGGTCATTAAGATGGCAATGCACAAAAAGGAAGTGATTGGTAGTCATTCAACTCCAATCCAGTTGGTGGTGGTAATGCACCAAGTTGTTGTTTGCCAAGTGCCGTAAGACCACAAATAATAATAAGAAGAGAGGCGGGAGTGTTCGTAACAAACTCAAAGTCAAAACATGAAGCATGAAATGGAGTTATACTAGCGGCTCCAATAAGAGAAAGAAGCAGCTTGCTTCATAAAAGCTTTTATTTTCACTTCTGAATGTGACGTCGGTTTCGATGTAAACATCAAAGGAAGCAGAAAAGCAAAGACAATGGAAAATGTTTAAAGGGAGGAAAACATGGATCAAAATGGAAAATAGAAAAAAAACTAAGGAAAAAGCACAGGAGCACTGACAGGAAAAAGAAAGCAGAGCAAATATAGAAAGCGCTCACAGGGAGGGAAATACATGAAAAAGGAGGAGGACTAATAAAAAGGGAAAATAACTCATGTCAGAAGAGGGGAGAGTTTTGGAAATCCAATTAAAGGTAAGATTGTTGAGAATTATGTGTAAGGGGCCCCATGTCTGTGTTCACCTTGGGCCCCCAAATTGCTAAATCCACCACTGAGGAGGAGGAGGATATCGAAGTTGTTTAGATTTATGATTACCCGATTTCTGCTGTTTAGCGTGGGTGTTTATCTGGTATTTAGGAAATTTGAGGAGCTGTCTGGGATGATTGGAAAGTTACCTGAGCTCAGGGAGAATCGTTTGCCGGGCGCTGAATGCTCAGACTCAGACATTCCTCTAGATTAATTGCAAGCTAGAGACTCTGACTGCAATTCTGCAATTGGAGAATGTTACTGCATGGTATGGAGAAGTTTAAACTCCATTATTTGGCTGTTTTGGAGGACCTGAGACCAACAGAGACTAAAAGGAAGCCTCTGTCAATGCGCCCCAGGGCAGCTGTGGCTACATTGTAGCTCGTCATCACCAGTATGTGAATGTGTGTGTGCATGAGTGGATGACTGAATGTGTTGTGAGGCACCTTGGGGGGATTTAGAACCCTAGAAGGCGCTATACAAACACAAGCTGTTTACCATTTACTAGATATTTTCGCAGCTTCAGACCATTTTCTGTCAACTCAAGGGATGGTTGTGGGTGAAAATCCCTTCAATTTAGCAGTTTCTTGAATATTCACACCTGCATGTGTGGTACTAACAACCATGCATCTTTTTTTTTTCTCAACTATATCTCCATGTGTAATGCTGAAGGGAACAGCACTGTGTGATCAGCCGATTAGCAAATTCTCTTTACAAGCATTTGTACAGGTGTACCTAATAAAGTGTCCACTTCAGTCACGCTGTCTTTGTATTTTCTTTTTAAAATATATGCTGTTTCATAATTCACACACAGGGTTTTCACAGCATTTCCTTCCTCTCGAACAGGAGATGAAGGTGTGGCTGGAGGCCAAAATCCTTTACTTTTGCCTTAAAATTATATTTTTAAATGACATGTAACAGTAAAACCCAGTCAGATCTGAAGGAATGTTTTAAAGCTCTTTTGTTATGACTGTGTCTGTACAGGTGTCACTCAGTGCTGCTTTTATTATTATTTATTTTTGTTGTTTTCCGGCACCAAAAGTGTTTAGACTCAAGCTGTTGGCAGAACAATGAGCTACCTGTGAGTTTACTGAGAACCAGATAGAAGTAGACGTCTCTGGAGCCAGTAGGGAGCTGAAATTATTCCCAGCTGTGTGTTTTTCTTATCCTCTGTGTTTGTATAATTCCGTCCTCATACAAAACCAGGATCCCTGGAACTCCCTACGGTGCACTCTGTATCTTGCAATCAGGCAGACCTTTGTCATGACGAGCGTGAGTAACCCTCTGGTCATGAAAGACTGAGTCATGTTCACAAAGCGTAACTCTTCTGATTAGAATTTTTATAAAACGATATTGAAAGCAGATTCAGATTACGTTTCACATCAAACTGCACTGGCTGCTTCTGTTTTGTTGTAATTTGCTTTATTCTCTATGCTCTGAGGATCGAATTGAAGGTGGTTGAACCTGGTAGGAGATGGATATTGTGGGGGTATGAACTGTTTTACATTTTTCTCTTTGTTGGTGGTCCAAACTCCAAGAGTTTTGAACACGTTTTCATGACACGCACTGCCACAAGCACCAAGTTATGTTTGGGTTCTCCATTTTGAAGACGAGATGATGCACTTGTAGGGATTTAGGAGAGAAGGTGATGAAGCAACCTCAAAATGCTTGATAGATTTTCTGCAAGCTACCACCAACACGTGAACAGAAATGGCTTGTTATCAATATTCTGTAAAAATAACAGTGTGACAGGTCTTTGCAGCATCTCGGTGAGGTACTAAGTGAATTTCTCATTTGTTATAGAGCATGATGGGTCAACAGTAGCCTGGGTGCACCAACGTGGGGGCAGCTTATCCACTGATGGAGCCTAGATGCCTTGTTGTGGCTTGTATGTAAGAAATTTGAAGCATGACTGGCCATGCTGGCCAGCAACCTGCTGTTTTTTGCCCTCTACTTCTCCGGCTAACTTCGACTTCCTGAAACAGCAGCTCTAGAGACCACTGCCGATTTATTGACATGAGTGTAAGCCCTCTTTAAGATGTTTATGTTTATGCATTTAGCAGACGCTTTTGTCCAAAGCAACTTACAAGTGATAATCGGCATGTTGCCCTTGAAGCTAACAACAACCAATTTCCAGTCAGTCGTAGGTGGCAGTGAGGCAGCATGATGAATCAGATGGAGATGATGGAGAGGAGAGAACAAGGAGTGGACCGTAGAGAGGGGGGACCGATGGGGGGACAGGTGCAGGGAGGGCACTAGTTTAGAAGATGCTCTCTGAAGAGCAGGGTCTTCAGCAGTTTCTTGAAAGTCGAAAAGGAAGCCCCTGTTCTTGTAGTGCTTGGAAGGTCATTCCACATTTGTGGATGCATGAGAAGAGTCTGGATTGTCCTGAGCGTGGTGTAGGCACTGCTAGCCTACGATCCTGTGATGACCGGAGCAGCCGGGCCGAGACGTAAGCCTTTGCAAGAGGATTCAGGTAGATGGAAGCCATGCCGTCTTGGACTTTGTATGCTAGTGTTAGCAATTTGAATTTGATGCGTGCAGCTAGCGGTAGCCAGTGGAGCTCAATGAACAGAGGGGTGACGTGTGCTCTTTTTGGCTGATTGAAGACCAGACGCGCCGCTGTGTTCTGTACCATTTGAAGAGGTCTCACAGTACAGGCTGGAAGACCAGTTAGAAGAGCATTGCAGTAATCGAGGCGGGAGATGACAGTAGATTGCACCAAGAGCTGGGTGGCATGTTGTGTTAGGTATGGTCTGATCTTTCGTATGTTATACAGCGCAAAGCGGCATGAATGAGCAACAGAGGCAACATGATCTTTAAAGGTCAGGTGTTCATCAATCACAACACCCAGATTTCAAACAGCCTTTGAAGGAGCCAGAGATAGGAAGTCATTTTGGATTGAGATATTGTGCTGTATGGAAGGTTTTGCTGGGATGACAAGTAGTTCAGTTTTAGAGAGGTTGAGTTGGAGATGGTGGGATTTCATCCATTTTGATATGTCAGAGAGACAGTTTGATATTCGTGCAGAGACCATTTGGTCGTCTGGTGGAAATGACAGATAGAGCTGGGTGTCGTCTGCATAGCAGTGGTAGGAGAAGCCATGTGATCGAATGATCTCACCCAGTGAGGTGGTGTATATGGCAAAAGAGAAGATGCAAGAAGGGGTTATTTATAACAGAATCTCACTGGAAATCACTATTTAAAACATGACATTTGATTAAAACCATTTCAACATTTTCTGTGAAAAAGTCCAATTTTTCTACATTTTGTCTGTTTATTTTTTCAGTTGAAGAACTCTCTAAAGAGCGACCTCTGCCTGGACCAGGGCCCAGACAACGACAACGTTCCCATCCTGTATCTTTGCCATGGGATGACACCTCAGGTCAGAGCAGTCAGTCTGTGTTTCTACTGCCGATCTTTCCATTTAACCAAGTATAATTTTATTTCCATACTTAAAAGAAAAAAATATTTTTGTAGCATATGTAAAGAATGAGTCATTTACATCTTACTTTATGAACCATAAAATGTGAGATTCCATAGAAATATGAAATATCAGTCTGATGGATCTTTGAATATTTTTACCAGAAGATCAGAACTTTTTATTGCAGGGATTAAGCAACACTTCGTATTAACTCCAAGGAAAGAGAGAGTCGGGTTTAAAATAGTTAAGAAATTTATTTCTACATATTTTAAACAAGACTAACTTTAATACTCTGTGTACTGATGGACTACGGTGGAGTGAGACGTGATGAATGATGATAGTGTGTGTGTGTGTGTGTGTGTGTGTGTGTGTGTGTGTGTGTGTGTGTGTGTGTGTGTGTGTGTGTGTGTGTGTGTTATTCAGAACCAGCGGATCCGGAGAAGCAGTTAGTTCTAAGTGGCAGTGAATGTTTCGCTCTAAACTTTAGCAGGAGATTTATAACACACATGAAACGCCATCTGTCGGTCTACGTACCCAGGGGAAGCCTCCGATTACATCCAGAATGCCGAGGTCCTCTTGGACCCTCTTTGGTACCGAAGCCAGTAGTAAAGCAGCGGTTCCGACCAAACTAGTCTTGGAATGCTTCCAGGTCACAACAGGTTATCATTGGTGTCTCCGAGACCCTGAACGGGTCGTGAGGTTCAGCTTTTATTCTGAAGGAACGTTGCGGTCAGTTGTAACTTGCAACAGATTTGATCCAACTTGTCTGAGGTTCTTTATGGCTGAAGACGGAGTCTGGATGGCCTGTCCGAACTTCTCTAGAACGCTTTGAACTAAAGAAAAGGTGGTGTGGAATAGTTTTTATAATTGTCATATTTTGGCTTACTGGCGAATCAGAATTTGACATGCAAAAGAGGGTTTATATAAACACCACAGATAACCACGCCTAGCCAGAAACGAAGGTTCTGATTGGGTCAGACAAAAGGAAATGTGTCGTGTGGCTTTAGCATTACGTGTCTTTAGTGTCTAGTGCAAATGTCCAAGATTATAACTTGTAAAATGCTACTGATCACAGGACTATAATATCAAGTAATAACATTGTTATTTCACAGATTGATTGAACATTAGGCTCACATTATTATTGGTAATTAACAAAGTTGTTGATTATGTATTTATCAAAATAGTTGTTCGTCTGTGCTGTAACAGATGTGAAGCAGTTCGGATGAGCAGAGTGCATGAAAGACCTTGGCCACTATCTCATGTAGATTAGGCTGTCAGAGACTTTATGTCTCCACTCGAGCAGACACAGCAGATCATGACCTTTAGGTTGAAAACAGGACGTTCATTACGCTACACATATTAGACATCCTAACTGAGTCTGAATAACACAAAAACACATAAAATCCCATTTTAATATCTTCAACTTGAAGTTACTTTCATAAAAAGGAGCAGATCCATTCATACAAACATCCTGTTTACTATGTGCGGTTTACCCATTTCTCATTACTCAGTGTCTTAAACTGTACTCTACTTCTCCATCAAGATAAATTTCAGCTGAAATAACCGTAAGTTAAAGTGTCTTAAAATGTTAGCGCAGCGTGATAATCATTTCTTTTCTCCTGCCTCTTCCAGCTCATATTGATTGCTCCATCCCATTATGTTGAGCAGATTGCTTTCAGAGGTTGTTGCTGTGACAGAGATCTCACATTGTTTCTGTTCATTTAAATGACTCTGCATGGCACGTTGCACGCTCATCGCACCTGCAGCAATAACACCACAAGTAACTCATTCAATAGGAATAATCTTTGAGATGCTGGTACAATTTGCAGTTTTACAATTCATGCAAATTGTGCAGCTCATTTTAATAAGTAGATTTGTTTTTTATATTTTCAATGTTTAGGTTCAGTGCAGGTGAGGTTAGAAATCTCCAAGATTATAGAAGTGCACTTTTGACAGGGGTTCGCCCCAGCATTGATGCATATGAAAAAATATATGTGTGTTTCCAGTCAGAATGTGTTAGCTGTGTTTCTTTCATTCATCTGAAGAAAAGCTATAGATTTTGTGCTCAAGGTGCTGCTGTAAACAAAGCAAAGCCTCATATGGAAGGAAGAGAAATAATAACAGGCGTTCTATTTCAAACATGTTGGCAGAAAACACACAGAACAACACTTCAGCTCAGATAGTAATAAAATATTGACATAAGCACAGCAACAACGGGGAAAAATAGCATAACGACATGTACACCTTGGCAGCTTGAGCTGCTCCAAAAATGAGCAACGCCAAATCAAAGGAGGACCAAACAGACGGTTAAAAAGCATAAATACATATCTGCTGCAACAAAATAAAGTAGGAGGCAATTTGGGAGCGCTGAGAAAATGAGATGAATAAAATAATTATGAGTGGAATTTTCTGAGAGCAGCCAAACAAAAAATATAATTTTCATTTTTTTTCTGATGAAAAGAGAAGTTTAGAGGTGTCATGATATTTTACAACAGCAGTTTTATTCTAATAAATTCAGATTAGAAAAGGGATCCTCTTCACAGGAGACACTCTCAAACTCCTCTTGGGTGAACACAAGTTGGATATAGTATTCCCTGAGTTAGTTCTGGGTCTTGTCCAGTGGAATGTGCTCCAAACATCTCCGGATGGAGGCCACCAGGAGGAGTCCGTGTCAGACCCCTAACCCTAACCCTTCAGCTGACTTGTTTTAAAATAAAGGAACTCTGCTAGGAGCTCCATCTCTGTACTGTTGCAGTGCTTCTGTAAAGCACTTTAGGGAAACCGTGGTTGCTAAAATTAGCTATTTAAATAATATTGACATGTAGCTCCTGTCTATATCTCTAAGGATGAGCCTGGTCGCTCTATGGACAGTGGTGCTGGAAGGGTGTCTTGAGGCCCCAAACAAGAACACAGTGCATCATCAGTGAACACCTGCAGTCCAGCGCAGTGTCCAGCCAGCCTCTGGCTGTGCAGCCAACGGGATGGGGGAGTAGCAATTGCCTGCTATGCCTATCGGCACACAGCACCTCTGCCTATGGAGGAAACTCATTTCACAATTTCTTTTGCTGGGATTTTGTATATTTGGTCTCAATCCCCGAGATTTATCTCAAGGTTTTGTTCACGAGTGAGGGAAAGATGGAGCGCGAGATCGACAGGCGGATTGGTGCAGCGTCTGCAGTGATGAGGGCGTTGTACTGGTCTGTCGTGGTGAAGAGATAGCTGAGCCGGAAGCTCTCGATTTACCGTTCGATCTACATACCAACCCTCATCTACGGTCACAAGCTTTGGGTAGTGACCGAAAGAACGAGACTGCGTATACAAGCGGCTGAAATGGGTTTTCTCCGCAGGGTGGCTGGGCTCTCCCTTAGAGATAGGGTGAGAAGCTCGGTCATCTGGGAGGGGCTCAAAGTAGACCTGATGCTCCTCCACATGGAGAGGAGCCAGTTGAAGTGGCTCGGGCATCTGGTTAGGATGCTTCCTGGACACCTCCCTTGTAGGGTTTTCTAGGCACGTCCATCTGTGAGGAGACCTAAAGGAAGACCCAGGACATGCTGGAGGGACTATGTTTCTCGGCTGGCTATAGGGAACGCCGTAGGATTCCCTTGGAGGAGTTGGCCCAAGTGGCTGCGGAGAGGGAAGTCTGGGCCTCTCTGCTTAGGCTGCTGCCCTCTCGACCAGATAAGCAGATGAAAATAGATGGATGGATAAAATCCACATCTTGTGGCTACAAGCAAGGGTTAGCAAGAATGGACCAGTAAATCAGTTGTGATGAGGCAACAGCGGCTCTGGGATTAGGAGTTGCCCGGTTCAAACCCAGGCACAAACCAAATCAGTCGTTGTGTCCTTGAGCAAGACACTTAACCCTTCTTGCCTGCTGGTGTTAGACAGAGGGACTGGTGGCGCCCATTCCACTGTCAGTGTGCCTCAGTGAGCAATTCACTGTAGTGTAAAGCACTTTGGAGTAGTCCGACTTAGAAAATCACCATAAAAAGGCGAGTTATTTGTCATTCACCATTTTTTATCTTACAGGAACAGTGCATCATCAGTGAATCACTCTGTCCTACCAACGCCATCTTACTTGAACATCCTTACTTTGGACAGAGATGCACGTTCAACCTGAGGCGGGCATTCCCCGTCATCCGGTTTAGAGCGGAAGCCTAAGACTTGGATGATCTGGCTCCTACACCAGCTGCTTTACACACAGCTGCAAATCCAGAGTGCACACTGATGACTAACCAATAAAAACCGCATCATCTGCAAAAACCCAAACGCTCCCAAACCAAAACCTACATGAGATTCTGTCCACGGATTCCCCAAGCAGGATTGAAAATAAGGGGGAACCCTGGAGGACTCCAACAGGAATGAGCCCAAATATTTGACAGGAATACGGCTAGAACGAATGACAAGATCCTCCACAGAATGTCTCCATCGTCACCAACCTTCTCCAGATCAACAGAACAAATGTGGACTGGGGGGAATAAAACTCTTCTGCAGCTCTGCGAAGGTAAAGATCTAGTCTCCAGTTTAGTTTGACTACTGAATTTTCCACAGGATATTCGTAAAATCAAATCAACATGCAGAAAAAGGGGTCATCGACATCATATTCATTATTATTCCTTTTTAGTTGCTATCTGGTTGAGGTGGAGGTGTGGAGCTAATTTTATCTATTCTCTGCTGAAGAGTGAAATCCTGAAGTCCGGCCACCGTAGGCGTTGTTCCCTCACAGCGGGTCACTGTGGGGTCATGAAATGATGAGTGGGAGAGAAAAGAAGAATATGAAGTAAAAATCTGTTACCCTCAGCTTCCTTTTATTATTTTAAAACTGCAAGTTTTAGTATTTTGCAATCCCAATAGTTAAACTGCAAAAACTGGCTTCAGTAAAATCACAACATTTTTGTATTTTCATGAACTTTATAGCTGAGAAAGTTAAACAACATTATTGGATTAATCTTTTGTAGTAAATGTTTGTATTAAATTAAACATTCCTACCACCAATCACACAATAAATAGTGAAGTGTATTGTTGTTTTTCACAGTTTATTGTTAGTTGTTCTGTGGCGCCACACCAAACTAAAACCAACTGTGTGCCAGTAAGTACATTACATGCTTCCTCTTTATTCTTGCAAATAATTTACTGATTTTTGCTCGCTCAAAATAAACATCTGCTTCTGGAAAATCAGCTCAGAAATCTTCTACTGGAGAGAAAGAGAGAGAAAGAGCAGAAACATTTAGGTTTTCGTGCATTTCTGCATTAATGATGAACTTATTTGCATCGCCTGGTTGTTCCTTGTCATCTGTTCACATAGAAAATTGTATAAATATGCATTTTTTGTTCTATGTAAATTAGCTTCATATAGATGTCACTTTTATTTTAAGAAAGCTTAAAAGCCAGATTCATTTACAGCACAGTTAGGCACTTGTGAGGACACATCTGTGGGCGAGTCATCATCCAAAAGTCAGCTGCAGCTGTCTGAACAAACCAAGTGTTTTGTTCATATAAGGGTGTGCTGTTTCTTTCAGAATGTGTACTACACCAGTACCCAGCAGTTCCACATCGGGCTCCTCAGTCCCACCGTCGACGACGACGACAACAAGTGCCTGGTGGACGTGAACGGCAGGCCACGCCTCATCGAGTGTAGCTACGCTAATGCCAAACGCATGAAGATCCACTGGCTTTTTACTCAGGTGATGAAAAAAACATTAAACATAACGAGGACACAAGCGAAGACTGTTCTTATTGTTTTTAAGTCTCAGTTCAGGTAATAAAATTACAGCCAACCCAACCCATGCTTAGGTGTTATAAAGAAAATTAGTGTCAGGACCACGATGCTGGTTGTGAAAAGATCAGGATGGGGCCATCAAGGAGCCCCAGTATTTGTAGAGAAGCCAAGGATTACTCCAACATCCTCGTACAAGGTATCACTCTAGAAATTCCCAGATGGATTCATTAGCACCACCAGTGTTTGGACTTGGAATTGCATCCACCTATAATCTGATCATAACTCAAAAGACAGATGAGTGATGGGGCTCTTCAGGAGGGGCTTGAGAAAATCTACATACATTTAATTAAGGCAGCGCCATCCTATTCCTTTAAAACTGGAGTTCAGTGATCGTGTTGGTAGAAACTTTACCAACGTCCCATGGGACAACACTCTGTAGCCCTCTGCTGACATGAAACAGCATTTAACAGTTTTATGGAGCAGGTAGGTGCCCTAGGGGGAGCTCTTTACCTGCTTAACGGCTGTTAGCTATTTTCTGTCTCGCTAACTAATAAAGGGCTAGCAGTTAGCTTTTACAGTTTGCTGACTATCATTAAAAAAACACAGGAAGAAGGAAAAAAACAAGTTAGCTTTTTTGTTATCATCATGGTGGAGCCTGGAAGTAAAAATCCAGGAGTAATGCTTTTGGAGGTGGAGCAAAGAACTAAACATGAGTGAAGATTGGCCTACACACACTTGAGGGAGCTAAAGGAGGCTATATAATCACTGACCGATGGTGGCCTGGCTTTGTTGTTACTGGACTTGTAAAGTATTACTATATTTTGTCCAACAGTGTGGATCATTTTACTCCATAGTTTATTTTAGATTTAGTTGGCTCATGTTAGTGTTAGCTCGTTGTGAGCACTAGCTACAGCAGGCTGCAGCAAGGTTGTTTACAACAGTTGTAATTCTACTTTCAACCAGTAGGGGACAGGAGCAGGAAACTGTTCAGTGTCACTTTTACTTAAATTTTTTTTGACAATGGTGCATTTACATATTTTTTTACCAAAGTTCTTATATCCTAAATGAATAGAATCTTGACTCCTGAGACTTATTTTGTGGGCAATAAGTTTCAAGAATCTGAGTTTTAAAACATGAAGCTCAGATAAATCCAACAACGTTCTGTGCCTGTTTTTGCTCCAATTATTTGGACGTCATTTGCTGCCATTATCCTGTTTTTCTGAGCAACAACTTTTAATTAAGTTCATTATTTGCTGCCACACAAATGCAAAAGAAACTCAGACGTAAAGAGAATTTAGCATTTCTCTGCAAATTAAACACAAACGCGACAGGGAAATTTTTAAATAATCTGTAGGAAAAATAATTAAAACAGCTTCTCAGTGGAAACAAATAATTAGGTTAAACATGGCTTTCTGAGCTGATAATGGGGCATTTCATTTTCTACAACAGTACTGCATTCTCCTCCTTTCTCTTGATAAACTAAAAAACATATTTTTGAAGAAATAGGCGCATGCTCTTTTTGACTGCTCGCCTAAACCACCCTGTTAACTGCATGCATAATACATCTTTTAAACGTGAGCTTAGTGCAGCAGCACCATTTGGTTGGCAGCACAAAATGAGATGTAAAGGCCCCATTATGAGGGCTTTAGGAAAACCCTAGAGTGCATTTGCAAAGGACATACAGTCCTTTAGAATATCTGGGCCTGAGTGCTCTTATTCTGCAACAAAAACATAATCACTTCTTTTCTTTTGCAGCCTGAAATTCCAAATCATCAACTAAACTAGATTCACTGAACATTTTATTCTCAACCAAGAGGAGTGTCTACTTTCTGCCTGTCGTCAGTGCAGCTGCTTGTTGTTTCGTTGGATTTTTTTTCCTTGAGTCAAATATTTGAAAATAAAAATCCATCTATGCAAAAATGATGCTTTTTTTAAAGAAGCTGTATTCTTTTGACCTTGTAAGCACTGCCAGCACATATTTGTCTACCAGGTTTTAAATCATCATGGCCACAAAGTGTAAAAAAAGGTTTTGCATGCTTGATCTCATATGTCACATATCCTCACTCTGATCTTTCTTACAGTTAACTTTGCATAATGCAGCGAGCGTGGCGTGAGCATTTCGGCGAGGTTGAGGCATGTCGTGTTTCTGAAATGCAACATCAATTATTGACACGGGTGTGACTTCACATGTGCAAAGTGTGGAGTTCGAACAGAAATAGATCGCTTTGTTGCAGACGAAGCAACTCCAGGAAACGCTCTACAAATGGGATTTGATTTCACAAAGCCGGCAGTAGAGGGAGAAACGTATTTTCATTAAAATCTGAGTTAAATATTTTATTTAAAGTGAAAGCAGGTTAGCAAAATACATGAATACCTATTCTTTTTGCTTTGTCTTATTCTTTTGTGTCATAAAATGAAAATGAATAAAATTTAAAGTTAAAAATAAATGTCCAAAATTAATCAGTGTGTTAGTAAGAGGAAACGGATTGTGTGTTTGTGTGGGTGACACAGCTTTCATTCTGTAGTTACAAATGAAGAGTTTGTGCGCAAAAGCCATTTTTATCAAAAAACACCAAACTTTATTTTGTCTGATTTCATCTGCAATAAGTAATAAAAGTAAGCATGTTTTTAAAATGTCTTTAGTTTAGTTTAGAACTGTTTATTTCAACCATGTAAAAAGGAAAGAAAAAGCACAATAATCAAAATATGCAAATGGAAAAAAATAAGACTATAAAATGATAAACTACAACTTGATATCCTATCAATTCAATATAATTTCCTCATTTGGCTTCCAATCAGTTCTAAAATTAAGTTGCGTTAATAATGAACATTATTCAATAAATTAACATTTATATAACATAAAAACACAACCAAAGAAGTCTCTACAATTCCAGCTAACCTATCAATCAATTGTAAAGAAACAGTGGCTCTCTAGGATTTAAAAATCCTGACAGATCTATGTCACACTTTCACTTTACATTCTTGGACTCGCCCATCTAGTCTCTTGACAGGTAAGGCTGTTGTTGGTTTAGTGTCCATGGAACAGCACAGAACGCCTCATAAAAACTAACTGTTAGCATTAGCAACTCCAACCACATAGCAGAACTCCTTCAGGCTTGTGTTCATTTATTTATTTCTTTAACCAGGAAGGTCCCATTGAGATTATAAACCTCATTTTCAAGGGAGTCCTGGCCAATAGGCAGCATAAGTTACAGCTACAAATTTTTCAGTTACACAGACATGTCGTCGTCATCTTCCTCCGCTTATCCAGGTCCGGGTCGCGGGGGCAGCATCCCAATTAGGGAGCTCCAGACCGTCCTCTCCCCGGCCTTCTCCACCAGCTCCTCCAGCAGGACCCCAAGGCGTTCCCGGACCAGATAGGAGATGTAACCTCTCCAACATGTCCTGGGTTGACCCGGGGGCCTCCTGCCGGCAGGACATGCCTGAAACACCTCCCCGGGGAGGCGTCCAGCAGGCATCGTGACCAGATGCCTAAACCATCTCAACTGGCTCCTTTCGATCCGGAGGAGCAGTGGTTCTACTCCGAGGAAACTCAATTCGGCCACTTGTATCTGCGATCTCGTTCTTTCTTACCCAAAGCTCATGACCATAGGTGAGGATTGGGACATAGATCGACAGGTAAATCGAGAGCCTGGCTTTCTGGCTCAGCTCCCTCTTCACCACCACAGATCGGCTCAGCGTCCGCATCACTGCAGATGCCGAACCAATCCGCCTGTCGATCTCCCGATCCCTCCTACCCTCACTCCTTAACAAGACCCCGAGATACTTAAACTCCTCCACTTGAGGTAGGACCTCTCCCCCGACCCGGAGTTGGCAAGCCACCCTTTTCCGGTCGAGAACCATGGTCTCAGATTTGGAGATGCTGATCCTCATCCCAGCCGCTTCACACTCAGCCATGAACCTACCAAGCAGGAGCTGAAGGTCAGAGCTGGATGAAGCTAGGAGGACCACATCATCCGCAAAAAGCAGAGACGAGATTCTCCTGCCACCAAACTCGACACACTCCACACCACGGCTGCGCCTAGAAATTCTGTCCATAAAGGTAATGAACAGAACCGGTGACAAGGGGCAGCCCTGGCGGAGTCCAACCCTCACCGGGAACAGGTCTGACTTACTACCGGCTATGCGGACCAAACTCACGCTCCTCTGGTAAAGGGACTGAATGGCCCTTAACAGAAAGCCGCCCACCCCATACTCCTGGAGCGTCCCCCACAGGATGCCCCTGGGGACACGGTCATAAGCCTTCTCCAAATCCACAAAACACATGTGGACTGGTTGGGCAAACTCCCATGCCCCCTCCATCACCCTTGCAAGGGTATAGAGCTGGTCCACAGTTCCACGGCCAGGACGAAAACCACATTGCTCCTCCTCAATCTGAGATTCAACTATCGATCGGACCCTCCTCTCCAGTACCTTGGAGTAGACCTTTCCAGGGAGGCTGAGGAGTGTGATCCCCCTATGGTTGGAACACACCCTCAGGTCACCCTTCTTAAAGATGGGGACCACCACCCCGGTCTGCCACTCCACAGGAACTGCCCCCGATGACCAGGCAATGTTGCAGAGACGTGTCAACCATGACAGTCCTACAACATCAATAGCCTTGAGATACCCAGGACAAACCTCATCCGCCCCCGGGGCTCCGCCGCTGTGTAGTTGTTTGACTACTACCTCAGCAACTTCTGCCCCCGAGATTGGACAGTCCATCCCCAGGCCTCCCAGCTCTGGTTCCTCCTCGGAATGCACGTAGATGGGATTGAGGAGCTCCTCAAAGTATTCCTTCCACCGTCCGACTATAGCCCCAGTTGGCGTCAGCAGCTCCCCATCCCCACTGTAAACAGTGTGAGCGAGTTGCTGCCCTCCTCTCCTGAGGCGCTGGACAGTTTGCCAAAACCTCTTTGGAGCCGATCGATAGTCTTTCTCCATGGCATCACCAAACTCCTCCCACGCCCGAGATTTTGCCTCGGCAACTGCCACTGCTGCACCCCGCTTGGCTATCCGGTACCTGTCTGCTGCCTCCGGAGACCCACAGACCAGCCACGCCCTGTAGGACTCCTTCTTCAGCCTGACGGCTCCCCGAATCTCTGGTGTCTACCAGCAGGTACGGGGGTTGCCACCACGACTGGCACCGGCCACCTTGCGACCACAGCTAGCAACATCCGCCTCAACAATCGCAGAGTGGAACAAGGCCCACTCAGAGTCAATGTCCCCCACTGCTCTCGGGAGGTGGGAGTTGAAGACCGTCATGACAGGTTCTTCTGGCAGGCGTTCCCAGCAGACACTTACTATGCGTTTGGGTCTGCCAGGTCTACGCGGCATCTTCCCCTGCCATCTGATCCAACTCACTACCAGGTGGTGATCAGTTGACAGTGCCGCTCCTCTCTTCACTCGGGTGTCCAAAACATACAGTCGCAGGTCAGATGATACGACTACAAAATCTATCATCGACCTTCGACCTAGGCTGCCTTGGTACCAAGTGTACCGATGGGCATCCTTATGTTCGAACATGGTGTTCGTTATGGCCAAACTGCGGCTTGCACAGAAGTCCAATAACGAAACACCACTCGAGTTCAGATCAGGTGGGCCGTTCATCCCAATCACACCCCTCCAGGTCAAGCTGTCATTGCCCACGTGAGCATTGAAGTCCCCCAGCAGGACAATGGAGTCCCCTGATGGAGCACTATCTAGCACTCGTCCCAGGGACTCCAAAAAGGGTGGGTACTCTGAACTGATATTTGGCCCATAAGCACAAACAACAGTCAGGACCCATTCCCCGACCCGAAAGCGCAGGGAAGCTACCCTCTCGTCCCCCGGGGTAAACCCCAACACACAGGCAGAGAGTCTTGGGGCTAACAAAAAGCCAACCCCAGCCCTCCGCCTCTCACCCGGAGCAACTCCAGCAAAGGAGAGTGTCCAACCCCTCTCAAGGACTTGGGTTCCAGAGCCAATGCTATGTGTCGAGGTGAGTCCGACTATATCTAGCCGGTACCGCTCAACCTCTGCCACAAGCTCCTGCTCCTTCCCCGCCAGCGAGATGACGTTCCATGTCCCAAAAACCAGTTTTCTTGTCCGGGGATCGGACCACCAATGCTCCCGCCTTGGTCTGCCACCCGATCCACATTGCACCGGACCCTTCATGTTCCTCCTGCGGGTGGTGGGTCCACAGTTGGATAAGCCCATGTATCCGGTTCAAGCTGGGCCCGGCCGGGTCCCATGGGCGAAAGCCCGGCCACCAGGCGCTCGCTCACGGGCCCCAACCCCAGGCCTGGCTCCAGGGTGGGACCCCGGTAACCCTCCGGGCTGGGTACTCCGACTCTTTGAATTTACTTCCATGAAAGATCCTGTGAACCGTTCTTTGTCTCACCCTTCACCTAAGACCAATTTGTCATGGGAGACCCTACCAGGGGCACAAAGTGCCCCAGACAACATAGCTCCTCGGATCATTAGGGCACTCAAACTCCTCCACCACGATAAGGTGACGGTTCAAGGAGAAGTTACACAGACGTGTTATGTACTAATTACAGAAGGCAGTTACAACACAGGGAATCTGTCTCAAGGGCTCTCAGTCGGGTTTTAAATGTATTCAAGGAGATAAACTCGGTTTCTAGTTTTTCTGTAGCCTGTTTCATGCAGAAGGAGCAGAGTGAACAAAAGCCCTTTTATCCAGTTATTTTTTGTGGAGATAAAACATCAATAATACAAAGTAAACGGAGTCAGTAGTGGAGTCGCATCGCTGTTAGCCAATTAGAGGCGAGATGTGTAAAAATAGGGAGCCAAAGTCACTTCCGCATCATGGGTCCCTAGAAGAATGATAAAATGAATGCAAGTCAACAAGAATAAAAATACTATTTTCTGATCGGCTTTGCCTTACGCCCTGGATCGCACATATGCTGTACTGCAATTTAAATGAAAAGTAATGATGGGTGTTTCGACCATGCCAGTCACGTACTTTGATTTATTAGCTTGTAAAAGTTTGTAAATAGCATGAATACAAACTAGAAATTGGCACATCGCATATGTGACGTCACCACATAATCTCCTCTCCCCAAAGTAGCTGCTACTTACTAAATGGCCAGATTTATGGTGTTCTTTCCTCCTGTGGGAAGTTCACTGAACTTACAGCCATTTTCCCTCAGTTTTCTCCGTGTCTGATTCGATGACGTCACTTTCGTGAAGCGCATTTGTAGTCTTGGACTAATTTTCACACAAAACATAAAATGTCATTCCCCCGTTCAAAAATAAGCGCATTCTTGGTATCAAAATGCGTCTAAAATTCACGGACATCATATGTGAAATCCATGGCACAAAACAAGCAGAATTAGAAAATAGATTTTTTTGCCCCATTGACTTGCATTCATTTTTTCTTTCTACTGGGGACCCATGGTCCAGAAATAACTTAGGCTCCCTATTGGGAAATGAATCTCTGAATCCTGAATTCCGAACCTATTTTCTCCTTCAGCTGACTTCTACGTCCTCAAACAGGCGCATCTTAGCTTTTTTTTAACCAGAAAATTACTTGCAAGACATTTATACTAGAGACCAGTGCAAATATATTTCAAATATTAAAGCTAACCTTTAATGAAGTTTTTCAAATCTATCAAATCAGAGATGAGATGCTTCACCAGCTGCTGTTATTTATTCAAATATAAAGGGATACTAAGCTGTTTTAGCTTGCTTTTAGCACCCCCTAGTGTTCATTTTATATAACCGAAAGTGAAACTATTTTCGCTTAATCTGACTGCTGGAATGTCTCATCAGCCTTCATCGATTTCTAGAGTGATTCATCACTAAATCAAACAAACCAGCTGTGTTCATGATCTAAAACATGCAGGAAACGTGCTGGAAGCAGACTGCAGTGCCAGCTCCACTTTATTAAGTCCAACAGGGATCGGATCAACACTCTGAAGTTGCAAGTGTGATATTCTGGCCACGGGGTGGGGGTTGCGGATCTGAGTGACATTTCATTAACACTGTAAAGGGTCATTTTAGCACATAGTGGCTCAAGAAAATGATTTAAAATATGAAAAAATTTGATTAGAGTGCCTTTAACATGATTTTCTGATTTTCTGAATATGTGATAGAATTTATAAAAAATAATTAAAAAACAGTGATCATCATTTTTATTTTTTATTAAACCTAAAGCCCTAGCCTATAGTGAAAGTTTTAATCTTGTCTTGAGAAGTGTTGAGGCTTTACTTCATGAAAACAAAGTTGTATAATGATCATCTCTCTATTAATCTTGTTTTAAACTCTATATTAAACGGCACTGGCCACTCAATAGATATATCTAAATCCCATCTGTATCCGTGCTGCCTCGCTGGCATGAGCTAGTCTTCTAAAATGTCCATAAATACCCCACTTACAACATTTAACAACAGTCTGTTATCTATTAAAATGTCTTTTGGACCTCCAAGGCAGCCTGTGGAAAAATACAAAGAATAATTTATCATAAAGTCTTTATAAACTGTCCAATCTTTTTTTCTTTTCCTCCTACATTCTCCTCCTCTCCTCTCCTCTCCTCTCGTGGCATTGAATGGAGCTCTCGCTCTTTATAGACTGCTGAAGGCCTCCTGTTCACCCGGTTAATCTTTGTCAGCTCTTTCATTGTAATAAATAAATTCTGCTTCCTTTATGAGAGCCCGGTGCAATATTTTTACTCCTCTGATGGGTTCTTTCTGTCCAGATTCTGACTGTGGTGTTAAAGTAAATCAGTTGTTTCTTATTACACTGAGGTTCTTTCCTCAGTGACAATATTAAAGTATTACCAGGTGAGCCTTTCTTGTCCTCCGTGAACCCGTTTTAGGTTTTTGTTAAAAATAATTTTGTGTTTGTTTCATGACTCGGTCTCTCCTCCAAGGACAGGAAGCAAATGGAAGCTTAGGAAATCGCACTATTGTTTTTGCCTTCAAAACACCTATTTCTTGGGCCCAATGAGGAATCGTGCAAATTAGCCGAATGATGTTCGGGGTTCTTCTGCAGCTCCTGTCGATATTCATTCACAGCAGCGGTGTGGCTTTAGAGGAAGGAAGTTATATTTTGCTCAAATTGTTTTTCTGGAGCTTGGCGCCATTTTAACCAGCCTGCTTTTATCTTTTCAGGGAGGATCCATTCAAAACAGAAAATCAAAGAGATGCCTAGAGCTTGTAGTGAGCAGCGACAATGAGTTTGGCTTCCAACTAGCTCTGCAGAAATGCACTGGACAGAAATGGTTCATCACAAATGTGCTGTTTAGCAGCTCCCTGTGAGGGGAAGAGAAACACCAGAGTGTGTGTTTGTGTGTGTAAGAAGCAGGAGAATGATGCATGGTTGAACAAATTCATTGTGAGCGACACGGCGTGCTCAAGTGAGTGATCAACATCCCGTTCTAAATGTTAAACATTTTATTTCACCAGTCGGATCAGCCATAGATTGCACATACTTTGCAGACTTGACAAGATAGAATACGAAGTATATTTTGTAGTAAATTACATTCAGACTTTTGTTGACTCAAAAACAAATGTAATGGGTTTGATTTTGTGTGTGTGTTTTGTTAAAATTTGCTACCATGTAGCAAACTCCCTCTGCTGTAAATATTTGATTTTAGTGTCTCAGGTTTGTAGGTTTTATTACACGATTCAGCTGTACAGTTGTGAGAAATGTTGGAAATGATTAAAAAAGGATATTTTATAGATGTACATTGTTTTTCAAATATTTATAACGTAAGCTAGAGGATAACTTATGTAAACAACTGGGTACAAGTGCCTTTTATATTTGCTGCCAAAGGCACAATCATTGTCAGACACCCTCCCCCCTTCTGAAATAAAAACAACTGAAAAACAAATTCACATTGATGGATCCGTTTCATTCATTAATAATATTTATCCTGTATAAATGTCACTGGCTTTTGTTTAGTGTGTGTTTTCTACCTCAGCTACATCATAAACTAAAAAACAACAAAAATTACTTTTGGAAGAATTAGCGCTTCAAACATTCTAAGAAATTGAATTGTATCCTAAAGTATATAACAAAATCAGGGGTAGGGATTTAATGTGTTAATTATGATTAATTAATAAAATAATCAATGACACATAGAAAATTTTAGCCCAAGTGTCCCTCAGTTGGAGACTGGAAAAGTTTAGCATTAAAATGTATGCCTTGTATATCAATTAATACCATAAAGCTGCACCTCTAACAAGACTGCAGAGCCTGTGCTACAAGACCATATATACTTTTTTATGTGCTCCAAACAAAAACAAAACTACAATTTAAGAATTATGACAAATTACTTTTCAGGAAGAAAAGAAGGAAGAAAAAATTCACCTTTTACCTTTATGTGCTGTAGTTATAAGAAAGCAGGCAGGCAGTAACTTTATCCTAATTCTATTCAAAGATACTTTATTAATCCCAGAGGGAAATTAAAGTTTCAGTACACACAATCCTGAGATCAGACATACATGCATCGGCATAGACACATGACAAGAATTGGTGACTGTGGTCATTCGCAACCCGAGTCGCGCTACCTTAATAGAGATCAGAGGGTTTATATATGAGGATTGAGTCAGGTGAAGGGAAAAAAAGGCACTTCAGAGTTACCCTCCACAGGGAGGGCAGCTTTGTTATGTAAAAAACACCTCAGATAGAAATGCTACAGACTTCAGACAATACACAACATAAGTGTCCACTAGGTGGGGAGGTAAGGTTGGGGACTCTCCACACATCAGTGCATGCAGCCACGATAAGCAGCGCTCGTCACCTCCGTTTGGACGGGAGGGAGGTCATTGGGTTTAGAGAGCACAGTGACTCCTGGAACGATTCAACGGCCTTCACCAGTCGCAGTCCCGCCCAGGCTGGGATAGGGAGACAGAGTTGCCATGGTGACGGTAGCATTCCACATTTCTTCTGAGGGGTAGTTGCTTCAGCCTCCCTGACTCAAGGGCACCAGATTCAGATAAGAACTTGTCTCGGGGCCAGACAGAGATAATTTCCTCTCTGTCTTAAAGTTCCGTTGGTCCTCAACTCCTCTGAATCCTATAATGGCGTAATTAATCTATTAATTAATCTAATTAATAAAGCACGGTTCCCCTGATTAGTAAAAAAAAATGGGGTTATTTATATTCTGCCGTCAAGACAAACTTAAGGAATTTGGGCGTTGTTTTTGACCAATGTCTCTTGAAGGCCACTCAAAAACGTTGGTCCGAAACTGTTTTTGTCACTTAAGAAATATCTCCAAACTGCGAAGTTTGGTGTCAAAACATGAACTTCAAATGGTTATCTACGCCTTTATCTCCCGTCTAGATTACTGTAACACACTCTTCACATGTTTTAACAAAAAAAGCCCTTCAGTTGGTCCAGAACTCTGCAGCGAGGCTTCTTACTGGAGCAAACAGAAGAGCACACATCACTCCCATTCTGATGTCTCTGCACTGGTTACCCGTTAACTTTAGAGTTAATTTTAGAATCCTGATTATAAATTTCAATGCTCTACCTGGTCAAGCTCCTCCCTATATTACTGAACTGTTAAAGACTTATGTTCCAACCCGAGACCTCAGGTTCACCCACCACAACCTTCTAGAAGTTCCAAAGAGCAGATATAAAAGTCAAGGTTTATCGCTTCTTCCAGACTGTTGCACCCCGACTCTGGAATGATCTTCCATTTATACTTACGTAGTGTTGACAGTCTGGACACTTTTAAAAAATAGCTAGACCCTTTTATTTAAAGCTGCTTTTACCTAAACCTTTTATTTTCTTATTTTTTAACTCAAAATTTTAATCTTTCATTTGTTTTATGATATTTTATAAATGTATGACTTTATATTTTATGACTATATTTTACGACTTTATATTTAATGACGTTAATCAATTTCGTTATGTTTTTATGACTTTGTTTTATTTTGTTTTAATCTATGTGAAGCACTTTGTGATTCTATGTCTGTGGTGAGTGATATATAAATAAAATGTACTTACTTTATTACAGCAGCAGAGACAGGCAAACACACAGCATTCATCTTTAACTCTCAGCAGAACTTCCCCTGAACTCTACACCACACCTCTATATATATTAGTAGTTATCTGCTGTCACCTAGTGTTCAATTCAGTACACAACATTTGCTAATTTACACTTCATCAAAACATATATACTAATATGTACGTCCCATAATGGTTACCTTTATGATGAGACCAAATCAGTCAAACAGATCCCGTGGTTACAAATATACTCATTAAAGGGTGGGTTTGTCATCTGTGCCTCACTAACGTATTTAATTTTTAAAAAGTCACGGAGGCAAACTGTCTTGATCGATTAAAATGTGATTAATCAAAATTAGTTAAGCAAAAAGCCTCTGAATAAACAAAATATTTACGTACATAAAATGTTGTATTTTAAAACCTTAATATTAACAGCAAAATAAAAAATATATATAAAATAAAATACCAGTTTCCTCAGAGAGGTGTCAGATATTTCACACACACACACACACACACACACACACACATATATATATATAAAGCAGTAATTTGTTCAACCTTTTTAACAGATGATGAAAATTAATATAAAGTTGATCCTATATTTTTGTTAATTGAGTCACTAACACCTAATCACATCACAGACAGAATCTGTAGCGCCAACATCACTCTCAACTTTGAACCAGGACTTTACTGAATATTTTTACTATATTCGCCCTTTTCACCATATAGTTGCACATCGTCTTGCACCACAAAAGCCATTAAGACTTTTAGTTTTGAGGTATTTAATGAACTGCAGGAAAAAATATTCCTAAAAGTGGGGATTTAAATACATCCAACATGAATCTGGAGGTGAAGAAGCTGCAGATCACACTCTAGAATGAAAGCGTGAGGCACATGCAATGTCTGAGAAAAGTGCTGGCCCAGTTTGATGAAGCGAGGGTGATAATACCCCTGAGATCTTCAGTGTCATGTTCTGTGTCCCCTTGGTCCCCAGCCCCCTCCTGTTTGTCCTCTGTGTTCTCCTCATGTGCCTCCTGGTGTTTTCAAGCTTCTCGGGTCTCTCCAGTCACCCCCCTGTAGTTTCTTTTTCTGTGTTCCCAGATCTACAGCCCTCCAGATCATCTCTCCCAGGTCCTGTGTTCCTTTAGTCTTCCCCAGTCACCCCTCTGCAGTTTTTATAGTTTCAGCTTTTCATTTTTATTAGGCCTAGTCCACACGTAGCCGGGGTTTTTTAAAAACGAATATCCGCCCCTCCAAAAACTTGTATCCACACCACCTCATTTAAAAAAAAAACTCTGTCCACACGTACCCAGATAAATACGTTGTTAAGGACATGCCAGACCTGTAGGCGGCAGTACTTCCCCCATTCTTAACCTCATCCTTCGTCTGTGGTCTTCCGCAAGGAGCAGTAATTCCGCTTGCAAAAACAAACAAGCAAAAAGCGCTTGGACAATTGATAAAGTGAGCGCAGCTCTGAGGGCATCCATGCTGCCGGCTAGTGTAAACACAGGTCGCACATGTGATGTCAGCATTTTTTGTCACAGAAAGTGACGTTGCGGACCTTAAAACTCCAGTTTTGTCTGTCCACACGCAGACACCCAAAACGGAGAAAACGCAGATCTTCACTTTGGCCGGAGTTTTTAAAAAGATCCGTTTTCGTGTGAAAAAACTCCGTTTTCGTGTGGATGACAGGCCAAAACGTAGAGAAATATCTACGTTTTGGCAGATCCCCAGCTACGTGTGGACAGGGCCTTAGTCTCTTTAGTGTGTTTTTTCCCCCCAGTGTTTGTAGTTTTTCCTTCCCCTTAGAATATTAGTTAATTGCTTTCACCTGGTTCTCTCTCCACACACCTGCAGCCCATCTGCCTCCTATCAGTGTATTTAAGCTCTGTCTTTGTCTCAGTGTGTTGTTGGTCCATTGTTCTCTGTCAGTCTCGTCTCGTTCTCCTCGCTAGTCTCGAGTGTTTCTAGGTCTCGAGTGTTGTTTTTGGTTTTTGGTGTTTTGGCTCCCTTCACTCGAGGATTTCTCCTAAAATAAAGGATTTTTATTTTTACCTTCCACCTCTGCCTCATTCATCTGGTTCTGCATTTTGGGTCCTTCTCCTCCTCCTCCAACCCACCTTGTGACATTCAGTTTGTGAAATGACCGTCATTGCCCCTGTCATGAGACAGAAATTTTCTGCATTTTTGTGGCAGCAGCTATGGCAGTTCTGTTCTTTCTTCATGCTACCAGTGCACATGTGTTAGAAATATACAGATCCTGTTTAAGTTTTCTTTGAGGCAAAATCTCATAAATATTGCAATTAAAAACAATCTTTAACAGCATTAAAGTTTAAAATCATAGCTTTTTCTTTCTGTGAAAATGTAAAAGTCATGATTAAAGGAAGATAAATAAAATTTAGAAATTTTTATGAGCTTTTGCACATCTTAGGTCAATATTTATCAATATAATTGCCTAAGTTTAAAAAAATTATATATGATATACTGAAAATCAGTTAATAAAGTCTGACTAGACCAACAAAAACTAATGAAAAAACAAAAAGCAATGTTTTTAATTAACAAATTACCATCCCAGCATTATTCTATAAAAGTGCTTTAAAATGCAACATCAAGGACATACAAAGTGCTGAACATGCACATTAGCAACAGCATCAAAGAGCACTAAAACACGCATTTAAAAAGAGTCTAAGACACTGTCCAACCGTACAGCAGGATGTACCACTACATAACAGCTTGGCAAACACTGGGTTCCCATTTGTGTTTAGAAGCAATTTTCTAAAGATGGATTTAATGAATGAGCGTGTGCATCCATAGCTGCCGTCATACATACATTACAGACGTAACGTTACAGAAATGTGCTGTTTTTTAAAATAATTTACTG